CGCGCGCGGGGGGGCCGGAGCGGGGGGAAGAGCCGGAGCGGAGCCCTGCGGGCAGCGGGGAACCCAGCGCGCGCCACGCTCTAGCCCGGCGCAGCCCCGGGGGCCGCCCTGCCTCGCTGGGCTGGGGGAGCGGGCGCTTGCAGCCCGCAGCATCCTCCGCGCCCGGCATGGAGCCCTGGAAGCAATGCGCCCCCTGGCTGATCCACTGCAAGGTGCTGCCGCCCAACCACCGAGTGACCTGGCCCACGGCCCAGGTGTTCGACCTGGCGCAGACCCTCCGCGATGGGGTCCTGCTGTGCCAGCTGCTCAACAACCTGCGCGCCCACTCCATCAACCTCAAGGAGATCAACCTCCCTCCCCAGATGTCCCAGGTAAGGGCGCCGGCTCCCCCCGTCCCGCGGCGCCCGGGCACCAGCCGCCTCCTTGCGCCCCGCGGACACTGGGATGCTCCGAGCGCCCCGCGCCTCGCCGCCGCCTTTCGCTCCGCAGAGTGTTGGGGGAGAGGGAGCGGGCGAGGGCGAGGTGCGGGTGGGAGCCAAGCCCCACTGTGGGATGGGCCCCTGGCCCTGCGTGGGCACTGTACCCACGCTGTTGGGATGGCAGTAGTTATTATGAAGACAAATTGACATGATGCCTCCTGGTTTTTTTTTAAAAAGCAACAAACAACCCCCTAAAGCCAAACAGAAAGACACCCCCTCCCAACTGTTCCAGTTTTGTTTTGTTGTCAAATTGTGTCCTGATGACTAGATCGGCAATTTTAAAAGGAATTGTGGGCTGAGGAATCTAGGAAGCTGAATTACCATTCAATATACTTACAATAGTTGGGGGGGGGGGCGAGGAAGGCGGAAGAAGACTAAGTTGACATACATTTATTGCAGCCCTCTGAAGGTTTCTGGGCATGTGGTCTTGTCTCATGCTGGTGTTTATAGTGTTTCCTCAACCATTCCTCAAAAGACAGGCAAAGAAATATAACAAAAGCTGTATGTGAGATTGTTAGGCATCTGATCTTCATGGAGATCAAAGTTAAAGCTAGGATTTGGATTATATATTGTATTGTGCACCTCGGGACAGGGGGCTTCTTAAAGACCTCAGAAGCTGTAATATCCCTGCACAAAGCTGTGATACTTTAAGGATGTGATTTCGGTTTTGACTGCTTTTTGTCAGATAAAGTTGGCCCTTATGTGAATTTCCTTTGTGTTCATTTTTGAGATGCCCTAGTCCTATAAAGCACATATGAACCATGGGCCCATGGGAAGCTCCTTTGAAGTTGGAAGGGTTCTGCACAGGTGTGGAACAATTTACAAAGGCCAGTGGTCCAGTTTGTTGATCTTGCAAAAAAGCACATGCTTAATTTTAAGCATGTAAGTAGTCATATTGAGTTAAATATGCAGATTGTTAATTGGGTGGATAAGTTTCTGCAGCACCAAGGCCTTGTTTTGTATCCCCCTTCTTTTTGGAATTGTATGAATTATAGAACTAATCTATGGAGTAATAATAACCAAGTTAAGCTAGCTTCCCAAATAAGTCTGTTTTAGTACACCTTCCTTTCCCTTACAATCTTCCTTAATCTTTACATCCTTAACTTATCTGGGTTAAGATGTTGAGAAACATAGTTTTTTTAAAAAAGAGCAGTTAGAAAGTTATGGTGTTTTGAACTGCAAATACCTGCCCTTCAGATTTGAAAAAAATCCCATTAATTTTTTTGTATTCTGTCTCATAACGATTTAGAATTTCTGAAATTGGGCCTGAACATGCTAATGAATCTGCTTGGGTAGTCTCTGTGCTCCTGTGGAGACTCATACAGAATTCAGTTACATTTTGTGGGCCTTGCTGAAAACAAATTGCTTTTATCTTATAGGGGGCGATAAAGAGCATGAAAATGTATTTAATATAAACAATTTATAATTAATGGACTTTTTCTAGTTTGCTGGCTTGACCTTGACAAAAGGGTACCTAATGGGGCATAGACTGGAAGTGGGAGTTTGGTGGAAGGGGGGGATTGGAGTGAGATAGGAGTTGGGAAGAAATATGGAGTCATGAATAGGTGACAGAGGATAGAAGGTGACTGAGAGATACCTGGTGAGGTAGTTGTGATGCCATGTTTCCTATTTTTCGAATGGAAGGGGTAGTGGTGTGGATGTGAGTACATGATAGGCAGGATGATGGCATTAATAAAGGAGAGAGTAGGGATCCTCAAGGACATGGATTGTGCAAAGAATAGAGGAAGGACATTAGTGCAGACGAGTGGAGGTGGCATTTGAGAGTTACAGGAACGGGGTGGGTGTGTGTTATTGTAACTTGTTTTTATCCTTGCATGTATATTTGCAGATTTTAGGGAGGCAAGTTAAGATTGGTTAATGAAGAGAGAGAGGAATATGTCTGTTGAGAATTGTTTGGGTCTCTTCACTGTTAATTTCCAGACATTCTTATATTTTGTTTTTTGTAGAGATATAGAATTTTCAGTACAAATATTCATGTTGGGCCATACTTGAATCTCAGGGTGATTGTTAAATAATTGAGATTGGATTGTGGAGAAAACATGGAAAATTGTGGAAAGGTAATAATGTACCTTTATTAATTCTGTTAATTTGGAATAAGCAAGAGAAGACCAATTTGTTTAAGAAAAAATTGCTAGAGCAATATAAGCAATCCAGTATTATATTATGCCTGCTAATTTTTGATACGCCAGAATTTTTGCAACAACTATAGCTCTGGGTGGCTCATTGCTGGTGTTCCCACTGTCAGTCCTGCTCAGCTGACACAGTTGTCGTGGAAGCCTAATTTGTAAGTTCCACAATTTCTGCCGTGTTGTGAATTAACTAGAGTCTTATATAAACACACAGATGCTAGGCATTAGTAGGACTCCACTGAAGCATGGTTTCACTCTTCCATTCCTTTTAAACAACGATTTTGTTTAGGATTATACCTAGATGCATATCTTATCATTGCCCCAGAGTGCCAGTCTTTAATATGTCAGCATAAAATATTAACATTATATTAAAATATTATGAGAAGAAATTCTGAGTATAAGTGGTCTGCTTCTAACCCCATTTGATGTGCACTTGTAACTTCACTGAAGTGTACAGAAGCTAAGTAAATGTCTGATGAAGGGAGAATAGGCTTTAACATTTGCCACCATTTTCCAACTTTCTGAATGCCAGAAAGACCTAATAATTTATAAGGTTCTACTTTTTCTATTGAAGCTCATTTTAGATGACTAGATATGCAATATTACCATCCAATTTAGGAGCCTCCTCTTATTTAATGTGTTATTGAAAATAGATATCAGTACAATTGATGTAAACTGACTACATTCACTTGACACATTTAGTCCACAGTCACTGGTTGGTGTCAGTTATATTCTTTCTTTTTATTACAGCATTCTCATTTTGGCAAATTCATTTGCTGCAAAATACTCTGTAAAAACCAGTAATGCAGGATAAAAATATATCCAGAACAAAGTGCAACCAGTCAAAATAAAAGCTACACCAACAGTGTAATAGGTGGAAGTGTTCTAAAATACTTCAACATTTGAAAATTATATAGGACACTGTGTGTGTGTGTGTGTGTGTGTGTGTGTGTGTGTGTGTGTAGGTGGTATTCTGTATCTTTGTTAAATGATGTAGATATGGTAGAGGACATGAATTTTAAATGGAACAAATTCACATGAATTCTCTTACAGCACACATTTAGCAGCAGTATACAATAAGTAGGATGTGCTAGATTGGAACAGAGCACGGGTTCATCAGTCTGACATTCAGCTTCTGGCATTGGAGGAAAGGATTCTCCTTCCTCCGAATCCTGGTTTGCCAACCATGGTTGGATTCATAGATTCATAGACTTTAAGGTCAGAAGGGACCATTATGATCATCTAGTCTGACCCCCTGCACAGTGCAGGCCACAGAATCTCAACCACCCCTCTTAGAATAATCCTCTCACCTATATCAAAGATATTGAAGCATTCAAATACTTTGAAGGACCCAACATGCAGAGAGTCCTTCAGCTGTGATCTGTGCCCAATGCTACAGAGGAAGGCGAAAACCCTCCAGGGCCTCTGCCAATCTACCCTGGAGGAAAATTCCTTCCTGACCCCAAATATGGCGATCAGCTAAACCCTGAGCATGTGGGCAAGACTCACCAGCCAGACACCCAGAAAGTTCCCTATAGCAACTCCTATCATCCCTCCATTGACCTATTTCCAACTGATAATGAATGGTCAATTAGTTACCAAGATCATGTTATTTCATCCAACCATCCCCTTATCATAGAATCATAGAACTTGAAGAGACCCCAGAAGGTCGTCAAGTCCAGCCCCCCGCTCTAGGCAGGACCAATCCCATCTAAATCAACCTGGCCAGGGCTTTGTCAAGCCGAGACTTAAATACTTCTAGGGATGGAGACTCCACTACTTCCCTAGGTAACCCATTCCAATGCTTCACTACCCTTCTAGTAAAATAGTTTTTCCTAATATCCAATTTGGACCTCTCCCACCACAACTTGAGACCGTTGCTCCTTGTTCTGCCATCTGTCACTACTGAGAACAGCCTCTCTCCATCCTCTTTGGAACCTCCCTTCAGGAAGTTGAAGGCTGCTATCAAATCCCCCCTCACTCTTCGCTTCTGCAGACTAATTTTTTTTTTTGAGGGAGTTGGGTCTGTTTAGTCTGCAAGGGGTTTAGGGGCTGCAGGGGTTTAGGGGCTGCAGCCCAGAGCATCCAGTGAAGGAGGCCCCCACAGGCCCATGGGCTAGATGTGGCTTGCTGCTTCTTTTCATCTGGCCTGTGGCAAATCTCTGCACTGCGGGCCAAACACTAGTTTCCAAGCCTCAGTGCCCCGTGGGACTGGAGCTGCGAGCACCAGTTTGCTGGTGTGCCCCTTGGGACATAAAGGAAATATCTTTCTGCTGCCGCTGCCCCCAGCACTGGCTCCACAGCTCCCTTTGGCCAGGAACTGTTGGCCAGAGTCAGCGGGGATTTGGGCACAATCAGCATGCGCAGTGGCCTTGCCCCTCTGTCTAGTGGCTGGACATGCTGGCTGCCTCAGGGAGAAGAGTTGCGTGGTGCAGAGGCAGGCAGGAATCCTGCCTTAGTCTTGATGTGCTACCAACCAGGAGCCACTCAAGCTAAGTACCTTCCATCTGGAGCCTCCATGTTGCATTCCCTCCTGAACCCCCGCACCAAAACTCCTACTCAGTGCCTGCACCTGAGCCTCTTGCCAGACTTCAACCCCGTGTCCCATCTCTGGCCCCATCCCAGAGCCCATCTCCCCAGCTGGAGCTGCACCTCCTTCTGCACCCCATCTGCTGCACACTCCAAACCCCCAAGGTCCCATAAAATCTAATAGCCCCGGGGCCCACAGAAAGGTTAATCTGG